TGTATTACGCATCGCCGTATTCAAGTCTATGTATTGTTTTAGCCAGGGAGATTGATCGAAAGCAAGAACGCGATGGATGCGAAGAAGCTTTAAGCCGTTGCTTAAAGCCTGTTGGAGATTCCTATAATGCAATACATAATTACGTTTATTGTTTAAATTTGGAATATATATATATATATATATATATATATATATATATATATATATATATATATATATATATATATATATATATATATATATATATATATATATATATATATATATATCGTTTATTGACCATTTACAAATACAAAACGTATTTTTAAAGTCAGCAAAAGAATAACAATTTATAAAATAACTTAAAATAATTTAGATCTACTGTGCCCGATAAGTAACAAATTCGTTTATGGAATAGAAACAATGCTCTTCAAAAAACTTTTTTGATAATTGTTTGAATTTTTTGATGGAAAGTCGTTTAATATCAATATTTTTGGACCGAAAAATAGTGTTTGCAAAAATATTATACAATTCTAGATTAAGTTTATTTTTTTGTGTAGTACACAACCTCGATCTTAATGTTTTGATATTGTCAGCTGTTCGCGTCATGTAACTGTGATATCCACCATGAGTCGGAAAAACAGACAAATTTGAGTGGATTTCAACTAAAGTTTGGAGAATAAACATACATGGTAACGTAAGTATTTTCAATTCTTTGAATATTGGGCGGCAGTGGCTGGACGGCGGAACACCCCCAAGAACCCGAACCGCAGACTTCTGCAATCTAAAGGCTCTCTCGGCCTCCGTCGCGTTCCCCCACAGTAGTAGACCATAAGATAAGATACTATGAAACAGTGCAAAATAAACTATACGGAGAGTGCTTTGCGAGATCGAACCTCGCAGTTGTCTCAGAACAAAAACCTGAGATGACAATTTACCGCACAGGTAGTCTATATGAGGCGACCACGTTAAAAACGCATCTAGGTAAACACCAAGGAGTTTGACCGGTTCAGATTTTTTACTTCTTCGATTGGTATTGAAAATTAGAGTCTTTGTTTTATCGGAATTTAATTTAAGTTTATTTGCAGAGAACCAGTGCTCAATCATAGAGAGTGTAGTGACAGCCTTTTTATTTAAATTAGTTAGATCTTTCTCCGATTCAATCAATGATGTGTCATCCGCATAGAGTATACTGCGAGCAGCATTTGTTGCAAATACTACATCATTGACATATATTATAAACAAAAGTGGACCAAGGATGGAACCCTGAGGCACTCCATTAGTAATGTCCAACAGAGTGGATTCCCGATTATTCCAGACAACATATTGCTTTCTTCCGGTCAAATAAGATTTTAAAAGGGCTAAGGTATTTTCACGAATTCCGTAGTACTCAAGTTTAGACAGAAGTATATTAGTATCCACGCAGTCGAATGCCTTGGTGAGGTCGCACATCGTTACCGAAGTCGACAGGCCCTCCTCAAACCCATCAATCACATGCTCAATCACTGTGTATAAGGCACGGATGGTGGACCTACCTGACCGAAAACCAAATTGGGAATCTGTTAACAATTTCCTTCCCTCAAAGTAAGCAATAAGTTTATCTTTTATTATCGACTCAAAAATTTTTCCAATGATAGGAACGATTGCTATTGGTCTAAAATTATCTAAGATATTAGTATCCCCTTTTTTATGGAGTGGAAGAATTTTTGTCACTTTTAATTCATCCGGAAAACATCCCTCTTCAATGCTATTGTTTATTAGTAACGTAATAGGTTTCAGAAGTGAAGATATTGATTGCTTAATAATATTGGCATTTAGACCATAATAGTCAAGACAACGAGAGTTTTTTAGTTTTAAAATCGCTTCCCTAACATCACTCTCCACAACTGCCGACATAAAAAACGAGAAATTGGGTCTAGATGATCTGGAGATGTAGGTCATAGCATCTACTACTGAAGGTGTGATGGTTTTCGTTATCTCCGCTGACACAGAAGCAAAAAATCTGTTGAACTCCAACGGAGTAATAGATGATTGAATAGAGTTACTGTGCTTAGACCGTCTCTCCGAATTAACAATATTCCATGTCGTTTTAGATTTATCATTTGAACTCAGAATTATGTCATCATAAGTCTTCTTTTTCTCCACCTTTATAGTGTGACGATATTCTTTGTGGAACCGCTTGTAAGCATGAAAGTCTTGGTTACTTTTTGAACTATGGTATTTTTTTTTAAGGCATAAAAGATGCTGGCGCATTTGTTTAAGGTTTTCATTGAACCATTTAATTGGCGAGCAATGGATGGTAGAGTTAACAATGGGAAAGAAACTGTCGACAGCTCCCCTAAGTTGTTCAATAAACATAGAACAAAACTCAACGCCACTTTGTTCGTTACTGACAAGTTTGGACCACTCAATGTGCTCCAGACTGTTGCCGAACGCAGTTATACGTTTATTATTTATTAACCTTCTTTTAATTTTATCATGATTACGACAAAGCACTGACGAATTAACTTTTATTAATTGTCCCAAATGATCTGACAAAACGGGGTCACAGACTAGGACACTTAACCGGTCACTAGGAAAATTGGAAATTACATTGTCCAAACAGGAATCTACTGATTTAGACTTCCTGGTAGGTTCTTTTACAAAGAACTCTAAGCCAAACGAAATGAATATATTTTTTAACTCCTCTGATTGTGAGGTTTTTTGTGTTAAGTCTACGTTAAAATCGCCAACAATAATTAAGTTGTCATAACGTTTATGAAGAAAACTTATCATTCTGTTCAAATGATCAATAAAAATGGATACATTGCCTGAAGTAGAAGATCTGTAAAGAGCAAGTAAAACAGTCTTATTATCAATAATTTCCGCTGCACAAAATTCTGCATGAGTTTGAATAGCAAATCCGCCGACATCTAGATATTTGTATTTGATATGCGGTCTTGAAAAAATAGCAACGCCACCATGTTTAAGTTTTGGTCTACAAAATGACGAAATTAAAGTAAAATCGTTCATTTTAACCGACTCAAGCCCACCGCCATCCAGCCAATGCTCAGAGAGGCACAAAATATCAATATTATTTAATCTTGCAAACAGTGAAACTTCATCAATTTTATTATGTAGCGCTTGAATATTTATATGTAAAATATTGTAGAAATTATTAGTTGACAAAGAATGGATTTCCTGCACTTTTCCCCAAGCCTTAACACTGTTCATTCCCTTGGGTGGCACAAACCTCACTTGCTCCGGACCCAAACTTCTTAGATGGAAAAAATCTGTTTATCTTCACTCCCACAGGCCAAAGATTCGGATCAAGAATCTTACTCGAATCTACCTCCGGGATGGTGACTTTAAAAGAAGAATACTGTGTTGGAAATCTTGATTGTAGTTTGAACACCGACGCATTGGTAGATAGTTGATTCAAATAGACACTGAGATCATCCTCGGACGTTTGAGGGTCAAGTTTGGTAATGTGATACTGATGGCTCTTCTGGACAGCTTTTAATGAACAAACTGGATTCTCCATTGCACCGATCAAGACATTTGTGGACCTCGTGGCTCTAGGGGCCCTTGAAAACTGCTTAGAACTATCCCCGGTAACGAGATTTTGTACTTGGTTACAAATAGTCGTCGCTTCAGCTTGTTGTATCGCAACTGCCACAGCCTCAGGACTAAATTTTGAATTGTGAGGCGGATCGTTGCGCTGATTTCGATGTTTATGGTTATGTTTATGGTGTGTTTTAGGTTGCTCCAGTTTACCAGGCACGTTTTGATCATGCATCACTGAAATGGTTTCTGCAGGCTGGACAGACTTCAACAATCGTATCTGATCTGTCAAAGCTTCGATTGCAATAGCTTGATTCTGAATCGTTAGTTCCTGCTGTTTAATAATTTGTTCCAAATAATAGACTTTTAATTTATCTGTGCCATCCTGATGAACTTCCTCGACAGTAATTTCAACTGGTGAGACGACGTCAGTTTTTGCAGTTTTGGCAACCTCATCTTCACAACATGTAACCGATTTACCATCAACAGACCACTTCGCAGTTTTTATCTGCTTTAGACAACTGACGTGTGACAAAACACCGCATCTAACGCACCTAAGACCAGATTTAATGGAGCTGCTCTTGCACCTTTTGCATACTCCCAAACTTTCACTCATTTTTCAATGATAAAGCAACTATCGGTCTTCAACCTCAAATAAACCAATCAAATAGACGAAAGCTTCCGTGCGCACAGTCCGTTCCCAACAGATCAACGTCACCGGGGTGACAAAAACTAATCTGACTCCGCGCAATGACAACACACGTGCACAACCTTTAAACAGCCTACTGATAAAACAGGGGTTGTTGCTAACACTTAATACGAAGAGAAAAATGTTACTATACACTCCGCACTAATTTTGATAAATTAAATTGCACTCCGAATGAGTTAAATACGCTAAACATTCAGACAAAAGAAAAGTACCACATAGGGCGAGCACAGCGCGCACAATTCCTCGAAATTCCTTCGATTAAGTTTTTTAATTTTGGTTTTTGCAATTTGCGAAACGATGGATTCCGGGCAAAAAGGCAGTTGGTTGTGTGCGTCATGCAGCACTTCCGGATAGTCCAAATCTACTTCGAAACTGTATCCCCTAGGTGAATCGTTGGGGATACGCGTAATATCTAAATTTTGAATTTTGCCCTCCTCCAACCACTCGAAGTTTCCCGTTGGGAGGTATTATGACATGGCCGCCCCGTATAAATTGGTAGCGTCCAAGTACATGACGTAAGAGGTAGCTTTGGAAGGGTCGTAATTAGGTAAACATTTATTATTAGCCGCGGCCTTTCTTACACTACACTGACTGACTCCTCCGCGGATACCGTGCTTCAAGAAGTGTATCATGTCAACGTCGGTCAACAGGTCCAGTTCGAGCTTTGTCGTCTTAAGGGTGCTCGTCCAAGATAGACCCAGGGTCCTATAAAACTGACTCGGGTCCAGACCGTACGTGTTCAGACACTCCTCTCTGAAGTTTTCAAAAATATCGGCTAAAAGCAAAATGTCGGATTTTAAATAAATATCTGAATATTCGCCTAAAATTTTACATTTCAACAAATTCCACACTGTCCAGACACGCTTGTAATCCTCCCTGATTATGTTGCTTTTTCGCATAGAGTCATAAAAGTCCTCGTGAGATGGTAGTTTGGTTTCGTCTAATTTTGAAAAAGAATCGAGATACGTATATGGAAAAACGCCCTTCTGTCGAATATGTTGAAATTCGTCCTCTTGATGATGCTTTAGTTTTTCTTCGTTATAAAAGTTGGCCAAATACCCGTCGCACAAAAACTTTGCTTTACGCCAATTTGTTAATTGTCGTCACACCACTCGAGACATGTGTCTTATTAAACAATAATGATTATCTCCATAATCGTTTCTAATTAATAAAAGCTTTACATGTCTCTCTTTACTAGATTCGGTAAAATGCAAAGGACCAACGACTTCAACTTCATTACGGCCTTCGTTATAGACTCTCTCGAGGCCATAAACGTTGACCGAAATTTTATTGAGTCGTTCAAACATAGGTATGTCCCTTAGTTTAACGGGAAAATCGATACCTGTAAAGTCCAGCCCTTTCTGAAACTCAACATAGTTTCTGACCTTGTTGGCGTTATTTGTTCGTTGGATTGCGTGAAGAGCAGCCAAGATCGACCACATAAAGCATTTTTTGTCCGTGTTTTGTACGTTCAAAACAGCTTTCTTGCCTTCGATCTCCTATTTCTAAATGGAGGCGTTTCATCAAAGCCCAGCCTGTAAAACCAGAGCAAAAAAATATTTCGGAAATAGCAGCATACATTTTTATGAATCATACCGCTGTCCCTTTCCTGAAACTCGGACGCTTTGGTAGCCAAGATGTCGAGGAACTGGATATACAGCTCCTCCAGATCGGTGTTACCGCTCACCAGCCGATAGTTGGTATTGAAGGACTTGAGTTCCTCTTGTTCCTTCGTCTGCAAGAGGAAGTTTCCGAATAGTTCCATACCGACTTTTACGTTGCCGTAGCGTCGGACGTTTGACTCTATCAACGTAAGGATTTTAGCCCTAAGGTGGTCCAAGAAACCCTTAAGGGTTAACGATCGACGCCAGACGGTATGTAGCTATGCGATTGCTTAAAGAGGTCTGTATCATTTAAACTCCTTCCTCCTGCACCACGCTGCAATTTTGGCGGTGAGCCAAAGTACGCAAGTGTCCTTGCCATCTCATTCCGGGAATGGTCAAGTACACTGCGTACAATGGCGCGTGGATTGTAGTGTCGATGTTGTAACTATAAAATATAAAGAGGTAAACTGTTTGTATTTGAAAAATGAAAAATCTTACCTTCCGGTAGATCAAGTCTCGGGCGCTTGGGTTCGTCGGCAGCAATACCGGCGTCGGCGGGTCTCTTCGCCTTGGGGGCCGGATGTCTCTCGCGTTGGTGGCGTCGCAGGACCCCCTCGGACTTGTATATCCCTCCACAAACCTCGCAAATTTTCGCTGCCGCGCGACAATCCCCGTGCCTTACAAGGCTGTCTTTTCGGCTGAACGAGCGGTTACAATATTCGCACTCGAACATTTTTTTACTGTAAGAAATTATGAGCGTCTCACTTATGAACTGTTCGCGTTTTCACTTTAGCGATTTTAGCAACACTAAACACTTACCTTGTTAATTTGGTAAAACACACAAAAAACAATTTTAATAATGTGAATTTTTTCCAATTCCAATTAATTTATAGTAACGGGAAAATTCGAAAATGTCCTTGGGGGTTAATTAACATTTGTGTTCGCGAGTATTGCAAATAACACAACCGCTGATTAAATTCGCTGAGTACATTTCTTTTCGAGTAAGACAAGACATGCAAATGCAACATGTTATTTTGAACTTTGAACTTTGCTTATCGAGCTGTGATTTTACAAAATTCATGGCAAACACTTTTTTACTACGGGGGAGATACGAATTTATTAAGCAGTCCCGTGAAAGACCTATTCCGTCGCTGTTTCGGCCGAGTTCAAACCTGTTCCGAACCTGTTTGATTGCTGACTTGAAGCAGTTCTAGCCTGTTTAGGAACTGTTTCATATCTAATGCAGGTCTGATCAAGGGTATCCTCGATAACATTACCTATCCGAATTAGCTATTTCGCAAATCTTAAAATAAAATGACCAAATGTACCGATGTTTTATGATTTTATTATTATTTTTTGTCAGCAATACAGTAGGCAAATAATTTTTAAATTTTTACACAATATATCCTGGAGCCAAATTTTGAAAATAGACTATTTTTGCTTTACTTTCTTCAGCACGTGTTCGCAGTACTTGGAGATCGGTCTATATGAGTGCGATCTGAGCTTCGAGCTGTTGAATACTTTCCTCCCATTGCATCAGCCGATTTTCGAAATTGTTTTTCAAATTAAGTGCTTCGCAAACCACCCTTTTTTCATTGTCATCTCTGAACGCCTCGAACCATTCACTCTGTTTTGGCGGCAGAGCTTCGATTTTTCTTTTTTTAGGCCGGCCATTCCCACCAGTACGCTTAGATTTCTTTTTTTTTGAGATCGCCGTTATATCTTTCAATTAAATTAATGAAATTTTTGAAAATATCTTGGGACTGAATTTCGTTATGACCCAACAGGTCGAAATAATAGAAAAAAAATGTTGTTTTCTTAATAAGGGGATGATAATATTTTTGCTAAAATCTCGGCATTCTCTTATAGAAGTCGTTCGTTAGGTCGTGATTGTTGAACAAAGCATAATTGGCCTGAAATGGATTCCATGTATTAAAATTTTCTACTTCTTTTTCGTACATTTTTTCAAAACAATTTATCACAATTTGATTAATTGAATTGGACAACCACGATTTTCCTGAAAGGTCAAAGTCTTCAATATGTGCATGAGAAATAAACGAAGGATTAGATCTATTATGTATGCAGGCATCTTACGCTTTTTTTTAAATTTTATGTAATAATTGATGTCACCAATTAGTCCATTGTCTATTATGCCTAAGCACTGTTCTCCAACTTCTAGATGAGATCTGAACATATCGCTTTTATCGTTTTTATAGCCAGGAATTCCTAAAATGTTATCACTTTTTAAATGATGTTCACAAACCAAACAAAAATATTCCACTCTGGATGAACGAAACGTCTCGTAGATGCGGTTTTCACATGTATAGTGAACCCAGCCTTTGCATATTTAACATTCAACCAATTTCGAATAAGTTTCATTTTCCTTATGATATATTCCACAACATAAGCAATTTAATTTCATATCTTGAGAGTACATTAAGAGCAGGGCTTTTGGGTAACGTATAAATTAATAGTTATTAAATGTTTTTGAAGTATTGTCCAAACTTTAGCATATTGTCTAGAAAAATATTATACCACTATTTGTTCACAGTTCATGACCAAGATTTATTGTTTCAGTAAAAAACGTTTTATTGAAAATGTTTTGTAATGAACAATTAATTTGGTTTAATGTTGTTCAGGCTTCAATGGTCATGTGACTAGTTGGATTTATGTGCGACACAATGCAAATGTATGTTTCCTGTTTCTCCTCCACTTCTCGGTGGCATTAAATTCATCTTTTTGATTTATTGCCATGGTCGCTAATCGATCTTTTTTTTAATTTAAACTACACTCTTGCCAAGTTTTCAAAACATGTTCTCTCTATTTTCTGATGAAATTAGAATATTATAAATGTTTTTCTCCATTCAAAATGTTATTTTTCAAATAATTAAAATAACCCACGATAGAAGCATTTGACGGTCTTTTTTAAATAAGGTCACATTAATTCAGACCAAAGGGAATAAAACGCCATATATCTTTATAGAAATATAGTGAACCATTCTCTGTTATTCAAGGGACTGGAATGTTTTAGACTTTTTATTTCTTGTTCAGCTGAATTACCTACAAAGTTGTCCGGTATATGTTGTTCTATAGATAGTTGGAAGTGACTAAATGCAAACAATTTTTTCAATGTATTTAATGCTTGGTTCGTGTGTTAGCTTCGATATTTGTTTAAAAAGACGATATATATGTTCGAAAAATAAACTTTAGCGTCTTCCAGTGATTGAAGATTAATTCCCACAGCTAATACTTCTTTTATAGCATTTTTTTGTTTACTTTCTGCAGAAACGCAGTTTTCATGAACAAATTTTCGTAGCATATCTAAAATAAAAAATATTTTTTGTTTTCACAAAATCTGTTTTTCGCTTATTTCAACCCCTAATCTCCTCCAAGTTGCTTTATTCAAATTTTGATGAAGTACCCTTTTTGTGTTTATACGTTAGTGGCATCAACGCAATCGCTGCACATAAACCGGAACCTATCTAAAAAATATGTTTTCTGTTTATCGAAAAACAGTTTATAAAAAGATATCGGATGTACGCCAACGATTTTTTTTTAATATACTAGAATGCAGAAGCATTAAAATTTAATAATCGTATCTGAATATGAATCTGAAGAATATTTTAGAAAATATATACTGTTTTTCTACAAAATGGGGGTTGGGCGGAGTTAGTGGTTGGAGCAGGGGTAGAGAGGAATCGCTCGACGAGGAACGCGGGCAACAACTTCACACCGGTTGATACATCGATCCAGTGTGCGACTATCACTTAAAGACATCGGTTTCTTTACGTACGGTTGCGAACCACTTCGGACATTTCCGGCATATTAGTCACGGGTTTATGACCGAAGAGTTGAAGAGCACCAATGCTACATATAGACAGTGCATTTTCTATTATGATTTTGTTGTGTATGTGTCTGCTCATATTGACCATAAACAATTGCGATATGGAACACTTTATTCGACACATATTAATGTAGCCAGAGTGTTTGATATTAATAAATTTGGAATTTAAGTATGTATGAAAGCTTAAATTAATATTTAAAACAAAGTTTTCTTAATCAGCCTATTGTTTCACTAGTTCCCATACAGTATTTTGATGTGTCAACTTAACAAATCGCAATCTCATAAGGGACTGATTGCGCCACCAATCCTTTGTAGATATTTTAACGCGAATTATAATCTTGATCCGGTAAACTTCCTTTTAAAAAATATTTATTTACGGAAAATGATCACAAAACAACTTAAAAACTATTGAACAATTAACAAGAACAGCTTTGACACTTAGCTAATGTTGGTGATTACAATGTATTAGTGATGTTTATATATTACAAATAGCACGACTAAGTGTTATTATTATTGGGCCAGTCCGGACTGGTTTACGGATATTACTCCTCCATCCTTAGTTTTTTCAACGTATTCGTTGATGAGTTTTTCTAACTTTCTTAAAGGGATTGTTTTTTGATGCGATTGCTTGTCCCATTGTACCAATAAATACCAGTGCGTAAACAGAAACTTCTTAAGATTGAAGGTAATACGTTGAACATTCTTTATTGATTTACTTTAACACTAGCTTTATTTTAGATTTCATTCCCTGACCATTCAATCAGATCATCGGGTGCTTAGGTCACGCTTACATCTTCATATTTGAAAATGTCAACGTCGATTTGCATTTCAACCCCCTCCTCTCAATTTGTCGGCGTGGCTTCGACAAATCGATAACAGTTATTGGAAACTATTTGAAGACTTGATTCAGGAAGAAGAAAATGAAAAAATCGGATATCATCACAACGATGTTTCCAATTTTCAAGGCGATTCTAAATTTACACTAATAGCGAACAAGACTACTGAACGTCATCAGTTTATTCAAACAGAAAATTGATCATTCTCTACATGGTCTGAATGAAAAATTAAATAAATCGTTTTTAATATCTTGCCTGTTATTTAAATCCCACTGATAGAGAAAGTTTTTGTCCGCTATAACTAAATCTATAAACGTATAATGAAAATAAAATATTATTATGTATAAAATTGCTTTATTTAGGAAGAGAGTCATACAACCAAAGATATATAGATTCAGCGTTATTTAACGTACAAAATATTGGAACTGTCATACATAATTTAAACCAATCAATATTCACAATTCTAGGGCAATCAGTTTTTAAAAACTTGCGCAGAAAAGTTTCTTTAATATCTCTTTTAACATACATAATATCCACTTCTTCATCAACAATATTGTTCTGTAGTATATGCCGGACTTCTTCTTGTTCCCTTTTTCCATCACTATATCGTAGATGATGATGATGATGCTTCTCCAAATATCGTATTTGTTCTCTGTAACACTCTTCCAAATCGTTGAAATGTTTAGAGGGTTTGAAGAGATGTTTCAATTCGGTAGCATGCACTATTGTTAATTCATTGGCAATAAACTCTGGGATGTTATAACCTTGCACACACAACTGGATCCTAACTCAGTCTGAAGTCAATTAGAAATACAATAAATAATTCTAGGCTCATGTCATCTAAGTCACATTTTGTTTATCTATCCAACTGTTGTGAGCATTACTGAAATCTAACCCCTTAACGTAAAGTTTGTTTCCTTTTTTCTCAAGACTTTTTCAACTAATTATAACCCGCCTGAAATATCTTCACCTTTGTCATCATGCAGCAAATATGTTGTTAGATTTGTAAGCTCGACTTTCTTGATTGTAAAAATTTCATTCGACCAGTTTGGGGTATAGCCTTTATCAAAAATACCTCGGTGCTTACTTATTCTGGCGAAGTCTCCAATTTTAAATTTATTACCATTACTTGCAATTTGCACGTTGTAAAGT